TGGTAATCCACATTGTACGGTAGACATTAAGGGCTTACACTGGCAGACACATATTATAGATGTATCATAGTTTCCTCCTAATCTCTTCCTTACCTCATTTTATCTGCACTCGAATCCACAGGAGGTTACTTAAAAGGTTTGTTTTATGCTTTCCATTTTTGTTCACTCTCTTTTTATGATCAATCCTACCATGTTTGTTTTTCTCATCTTTATTCTATTTTCATATGATGTGTTGCATTTCAATGTGTGTCATGTTCTTATACATATTTTTGGTAGTTCATTGAAAACTACTGCTTACAGTTTTTTTAAATTTGAAAAATGCAAAAATTTTGCATTTTAATTATTGTGTACATTTTAAAACCAATCTAATGTTTTTGAACCATTGCCTGGATTGTGCGTGGATGTTGATGATAACAAAAGCATGTCCCTCTGATCCGTACAAAAACAATGCACTTCTGTTTAAGCACAGTGTCAAGCAAAACTCGTGCTATATTCATATATAGGGTGCTAAAATTCATTGAAGTAGTGTAAATCTTGCATTTAAAAAAAAATTGCTTAGCTGCCATATTGAAAAAAAGAATTCCTCACTTAGACTTGGATTTTCTGATTTGGTCAGCTTTCAATAAATAGTAACATAGAAGATCCAATTTAAAGCGCCAACATGTCATTTGTCACATCGTGTCATGTTTGACGTGGTCCTATGTGACATATACAGCATGTATATGTTAAATTAAATTTGAACATGTGCTGCGACGAATGTGGCATTTCAATAATTTGTTTACATTATACTTTATCATTTTTTTTTATAACTACTGATGTTTTTTGTTTTGTGATTTTTAAATTTAGTGTGTATTTTTGCATTTAAGGTGAATGCTTTTTTTTACTAACGTAGTCTCATCTTGCATCACAAGCTTGCTTATCTTGAGGACAATGCAATGCATGTACTGACATTATATCTGTGTAATATATATACAACACTTTTGTAAATATCTTTATTTTTCTATTATATTCTATTGTACATCACATATATTCTTGTTGCCAGCATGATTTGTGTCTGGAGTTCTTTTATTACTGATATAAAGATACCTGTTTATGCTGAACCTGTGACCATAGTTCAATCGGTGAATAATTTTTGTGTTCATTTCAGACATCTCCAACAGGCGCTTTGTTTAGACAGGTCGAATATGTGTTCAGTTTTGACTGCTGCAACAGGTGGTCAGTTTAGACAGGTCCAACAGTTGTTCAATTTAGACAGGTCCAATAGGTTTAAAGTATAGACTGGTCCAACAGGTGGTCAGTTTAGACAGGTTCAACAGATGGTCAGTTTTCAGAGGTCCAACAGGTGGTCAGTTTAGACAAGTACAGCAGTTGTTCAATTTAGATAGATCCAACATGTGGTCAGTTTAGACAGGTCCAACAGGGTTACAGTATAGACAGGTTCAACAGGTGGTCAGTTTAGACAGGTCCAACAGGGTTACAGTATAGACAGGTCCAACAGGAGATCAGTTAATACAGGTTCAACAGGTGGTCGGTTTAGACAGGTCCAACAGGTTTACAGTATAGACAGATTCAACAGGTGGTCAGTTTAGACAGGTCCAACAGGTGGTTAGTTTTCAGAGGTCCAACATGTGTTCAGTTCAGACAGGTACAGCAGTTGTTCAATTTAATAGACAGATCCAACATGTGGTCAGTTTAGACAGGTCCAACATGTGGTCAGTTTAGACACGTCCAACAGGTTTTCAGTTTAGACAGGTTCAACAGGGTTACAGTTTAGACAGGTCCAATAGGTATACAGTTTAGACAGGTCCAACAGGTGGTCAGTTTAAACAGGTCCAATAGGTATACAGTTTAGACAGGTCCAATAGGTATACAGTTTAGACAGGTCCAATAGGTATACAGTTTAGACAGGTCCAACAGGGTTACAGTTTAGACAGGTCCAATAGGTATACAGTTTAGACAGGTCCAATAGGTATACAGTTTAGACAGGTCCAACAGGTTTACAGTTTAGACAGGTCCAACAGGTTTACAGTATAGACAGGTCCAACAGGAGGTCAGTTCAGCTAAACAGGTCCAACAGATATCCATATTGAACACAGTGATGTCTGACAAAAAATGTCAAAATGTTTCTTTTCCCCTAGTGAATCACAGTTATTTAAAACTCTGTTATAACCATATTTTCTTTTGTTACTTTGTCTACAGGGCCAAAACACAGTTACAATGCAGTGTCAGCAGTCCTTTGAATCCCATTAAAAGACATTATACTTACTTCACCAAACAGGGAGAACAAAAAGTTTCTGCCAAGTTGGAGTTCTTGGCGACAGCGACATCTTTGTTAAATCAGACTAAACGAATGGACGGGACACAGATTGCATTGGTAAATATTTTTGAAATTATATCTAGTGACATGTGAAGTGCCTTTAATATGGTTTGTGTGTGGACTGCACATGCTTAGTGGTTTGGTTACATTAGATGGAAAACATCAACTGGAGTCACTAGATGGACAGTGTCTGTATGTTATTTAGTATGATTAGTGTTTGGCGTTGTTTAACACCACGTGTGCATTGATACTGTAAAATACTTTATTTTAGCTGGAATAAATTTTCACTGAAATAACTTTTTGGGTGTTTTGTATGGAATTTATTTTCACTGATTTTTGACGAGTTGAATGTAAAATATAGGAAAAAAGGTATATTCGCTGGATTTTATTTTCACTGAACCAGTGACAGCGAAAATAGCGTAAATTAATTCTAAGCGAAAATAAAGTATTCTACAGTACTCAATTATCGCAATTGTAGTAGCCAGACTTGTCAATGGTAAAAAAAAATTTGACCATATCTACCGGTACACCTCACAATTTGCATTGGCTATGTATTTGTGAAAAAAATACATTTTAAAGTACTGATGACTGTCTATCAAATTTTAAATAATTCTGCTTCAATTTATTTATGTGATTTGGTTGACCATTATGAAACGGGTCATAGTGGCCTCAGGTCATCTAACACTGATTTTTTGTTTTTGAAAAAGACAAGATTCAAAATGTACCACAAAACCATATGGTTGGCGTTCTTTTAGCAATTACGCCCCCCCCTTCGTGGAAAGAACTTCCACTCTCCATTTGTCAGTCAATCAATATCAATATCACCTGTTTAGAAAACCGTTCTTCATTTAATTCCGATTTTAATGGTAAAGTAATTTTTAAAGTATTTTGAAAACTTTTATTTCGTGGGCACTTGGGAGTGAAATTTTTTTTTTTGCTATTTATTATCCAAACAGTCTTGGCTATAGACTGTTAAAATTTTGTGGAATTGTGAATAGTGGAACATACTCAAAAACGATTTTAAAATATAGATAACAGATGCAAACATTCTCTTTTTTGAATGAATAATAAAAAAGAAACATGGTGCAAAAAAGAAATGACAGGATCTCCATATTATACACTATATTTAACTTTTAACAAAACGATACTACATTTTAATTATGAGCATTAGCAAACTTCTTACTGAGTGAATTGTTATGCAAATTAGCAATTATCTCGGCTTCTTTTTAGTGCACATCCCAGAACTTTAAAAAAAAATAGCTTCTAGACGCTTTGACCTTTTGTTTTGAAATTTTCACAAATGATTGACAATGTGTTTATCTTCAAAATGCCGTCGGGGCATTGTTTTTGGTGGAACAGTGTTACAACAATCGTACAGACAACTAGCCTGGGTGTTAATTTATGCATAAACTTGAAGTAGTGAAATTTAAGCTGCTGTCCTGCATAATTGACAACTGGTAGACAGTTTTCAAGACGCGACTTTCTTCATAGTAAACAGATGTACCCATAAACCAATTTTGACAGGAAATAGAAGCATGGTTTAGAAGCTAATTTTTTTTAAATCACTTTTGACCAAAAAAGCACATTTTTGTGCATATTTCAAACTACAGTGTCCATAAAAAAATACAAAATTTTAAAATTCATACAATAAGCTTTCCGAAAATATATAGTTTTGTGGACAAGGGAGGTAATCTTAGTTTCCTAATTAACTAATTAAAATACCTGTCAGGTAAACTGCATCTCTACCTTAATGTGATTTGTATTCATGTATTGTACAGTGGTGCGTGACGCATTGAACATCGCTTAAGAAAATTTGTATTATTATTACTGTACATGGTAAATTTGTTTGCTTGTATGTGACAAATTATTGTGTGAACAGTTCTTTGTGTTTTAATTATTGAAAGGTGACAAAAATTGACTTTCTCACTCAAAGAGTCACTACAAGTCATAGCTGAATTCATAAGCATGATGATAAAATCAAGGTATATTTTGATGCAATCCTGTAACATCAGCAACTTGACATGGCGATACTAAATAAATCTTATATTTATTTAAGGGATCCGAGACAGCAGCAGATTATAGATGTTTACATTCCCCTCTGAAAGGAAACGTTTCTGAACGGAGTCTGGATAACTCCAGTGATGTAGAATTATTGAAACACTGCTTGTGTTCAGCTAAAACTGGGTAAGTTATTTCCATCACCAGTTCAAACACAAAATGTATTTTTTAGTTTTGCTGTGTTGACTTGGTTGACAGAGTGGAGGCATTCATATCACTGATTGTCTGTCATTTATCATCCGGTGTCAGTTGCCTATTGTCTGACAGCGTCAACTTTACATTTTCAACTTATTCTTGAAAACTACAAGTCTGAATGCTTTGATACTTGGTATATATGTACCTTAGGTGCACCTCTCTCAGATTTGTTCATTTCATGATAATATCTTCAAATTTTGATGAAATTTCGTTTTCGGTATAAAGTGCTATATCAAGTTCAACTTCTTGAAAACGGCAATCCCCATTGTTTCAGTATTTTATATGTAAACATCTTGAGTTAGTCTTAGTCAGATTTGTTCATTATGTGATGATACCTTTAATTTTCTAATTTTATTGAATATTTTTATCATTTTTGGAAAAAAATTCTATTTTTCACTTTTTGAAAATGGCTAGCTCAATTGCTTTGATGTTTCATATGTACACACCTTGAATGGACCTTAGTCAGATTTGTTCATTTTGTGACGATACCTGCCATAAAATATTGTGAGGATGTAGGAAACTTTAAATTACATTACTTTTTTCCTGCATGAGATTCCAATTTGGTACAATGTATTACACAGAGGGGATGCTGCTTCTATAAAAGCATTTACACATTTTTTCTTCTCAATTGTTTAAAAAAAGAATGGGTGTGGCTTCTATTAAACTGGGATGTAGTTTTTAATACAGATCTTACGATAGTTACTATTGGTTACAATAACAATAGCTGGAAGGTGAACTGTTCAATTGTATATTGTTAGGACAAGTACAGAAGATATCACAGTACCTGAATGGATCAGTGTGGTAGAGTGTGAATGTTTGGCAAATATACTGAAAACATTACTATTGCAAACAGTGGAATGTCTTGCTGATACAAGGTGGGAGTTGAGAAGAATGGGACAACAGGTGAGGGCTTTCAAGCTATTATTTGGTGACTTGTAGTGTTGTACCAGTCATACACTGTAAAACATTTCATTTTCACTGATTTTTGTGATTTTTTGATTTAATACTATTTGTGATTTTTCTATAAATTTCACAATTTTTACTGAAATTTAATTGGTAAACAGTATATCTGTGCTTCAAAAAAGTAAAAAACCACCTTTATTTGGGATGTAAAAATGGGATGTCTGTCCTTGTGTTGTTGTTGTTGTCATCGTTAACATTTTGTCACGTGCGTACAATAACTCTGCTATAAGATGTGATATAGTTGAGCAATGGGCGGATTGTTTTGCGTAGTTGCTATTACATTGAATAAATAACAACTACTGGTGTATCACAAATCATGTTCAATAACAGCATGTGGTATGAGCACATACAACAAGGCAACTTGTGGAGAATTTGATGTTGTTAAGAGATTCCAATATACAGAGAATGTGCCTAAAATAGTATAATAGTGTTGCTTCTTTTGGGGTATTTGATTATTTATTATTACCCAACAGTTTTTGTGCAAAAGAGTATTATTTTGAACCAAAAAAAACAGACTATAATTATATTTTGTTATATTTCAGACACTGCCCTTAATCACAGAGTGCATACGATGGTACAACATGTACATATTAAAGAGTCTTTGGGACAAGTACTTAGTTAACGAGACAACATTAATATGCTACGGATCATGTATTGCATTAAAGTTTTCCATCAATCATGCTGTCAGACTTGTACATTTCTTGGAACAGCCACCTGCATCTTGGAAGGTAACTAGAATTATAATTGTAGTTACACATACTATTACACATACACTACATCTGTCACTGTAACACCATAAGTTTCGAGCGTGCCATAATTTTGCGGTATTTTACAAGGTATTTTCATCCTACCATATAAGGAAATGCAAATTCCAAATATGGAATGATTACGTGCATAAGAAGTTCGCTGATTCTGTTCTAAACTTTTTGGATTTCGGCATTTCCATGACGGAAAAGATGTATAATAATAAGGCTATTAATGGTACGAGGATACCTCAAAGTATGTACTCAGACAGTACGCCGTCGCATCGACCAACGAGCAGCGGAGGTCGATGCTTACGCTGTACTGTCTTCGTGCGTGTATCCTTGTAATAACCTTATAGTATTTTCTTTGCATATTTACTTATTTAGTATAATTTTCTCGCCAAAAAGTTGGTGCAACAACTATGGACCAGATGGGCATAAATTCTCATTGTCTGCAGGTATTGATAAAAAAAAATATGAAAAAAAAATTATGCAGGTTGATTTTGTGAAAGTTATTAAAATTTGACTATAGGGTTCAGTACTTTATGCAGTGTAATCTGTTTTGTTCCTAGGACCCCGGGGCATGCCGACAGATTGCGCTTAGCATTGTTGATGTTGTACGAGATGGTCTGGCAAACTGGATGAGACCAGTGCACCAACTCATTCACCGGCCCAACTTTGACAAGCTCACGGTGGTTGCTATGGAAACAGTAATGTTGGCTCATAGCTGTTTTCCACATCATGTTCCTGACGTGAGTATGAAAGAGATCTCTCTCATCGTATTATTATATCAATATATAGTTTGTGAGAGAAGCAATGTAGTGAGCATCACATCTCCTTTTGGAGGCATTGCAGTGGGTATATGCATTGTCTACAAATTAGATTTCTGATAATTAATCAGTTTTCTCCAATGCATGCCGTCTGGTCAAAATTCTTTAGAATGACCCTACAACACTCCCGACATTAAGTTTATTTTCCTTGTCATCATTTTTTTTTTATTATAGAAATCCATGGAAGAATTGACAATTCTTAATGTATATAAAAAATTATTTGTACACGCCCATCGAGATCATTTACTTGCCGAACAGTTGAAGAGTACATTGGATTCACAGCCACTGCAGATAGCATTAGAAGGATTCCTAAAGTAAGCATGTATATCAACAACAATTGCCATTGGTCAATTGTGTGTTGTCATGGAGTACTTGTCCAATGATGAAGTGTGTTTCTTGTGCTGCATACCTGAATATATTTATAAATGCAGAGTTGACTAATGAGGTAAAACAGAATATAGTATGAAGATTTTGTTACTCTATGCATCACTTCTATTTACTCATGAGTATAGTCTGATCGAATTGTCTGCAGGCATCTCAAGTCACAATCTTTCAGTTTATTTGTGTAGGTTCTGGCAATCCATTTATTTCAAAGTCTGATTCATGTTTTGTTTACTTCCCATTACTTCATTTAATTAATTAATTAATTAATTAATTGGCTGAAATTATAAGCTTGACTAATGTGGCAGCCCTGTATTGACTGTGGTTTTATTAGCAGTATTACTGGTATAAATAGTTGGCAATAATCATGCTATTATAACTTAAAGACAATCATACAAACCCTGACTGTCTAATAGTGGAACTTACAAAACAAGGAATCCATTTTTGTGTGTGCAAAAGCTCTATAATTATAAAATGTACGTCTTTCACTCCAACTTTTACTCTGCTGTTGTATTACTTTATCATCATCTGTCCATCGTCCGCGTCTACTTTGAGTTTTCGACTTCTTTATGAAAACTATTAGCATATAGCTTTGATACTTTCCAGGAAGGTACCTTTAATCGCTTGCTCCCTTTCAAATTTATTCATTTCATGATGATAACTTTAGTTATCTAATTTTAGTGAATACTCCTGCCATCTTTAGTAAGAATTTTCATATTCTTCAAAATGAGTAACCTGAATAGTTTGATATGCAGGTAAATTGGGTTTTGACTTTTGTTCATTTTATGTCAATATTTTCAACCCAATTACTACTATACTGTAAAAAAGATTGCTTTCAGACTTTGCATCACAAACAGTAGAGCTATATCAGCCAACAGGCTGCTTGTCTGAAAATGTGATTGTCATGCAAAATAACTGCTAAATCATGAGAAATCGTCGGTCAACAGTCATTGTTACTTCATGAAGGTACATAAAGGATTACCATTCTAAACTTCTTTAATGCTGATTTTTGTTTACACGTACATGTATTTATTCATAGCTGTTGTTTGAGGGATGATATGAGCGAGACCTATCCACAGCAAGTTGAAAAATACACAGTAACAGAGACGTATCCGTGGTTACCTCACTTCTTAAGATGTTGTGATGTGGAGCATGCTGTAGGGATTTTACCAATATTAGTACACCATCTAGGCTATTACTGTGAAGGTCTTGATGTGTGTAGATCCCTAATAGAAGGGTATGTACCTTGCACCACATGGTGTATGCACAGTGCTTGCACACCTGTATGTTCAAGATGGGAAACTTTCTAGTCAGGCTGGGGAAAAATTAAAACTAAGTCAAGAAAAAATAATAAACAGCGAATATTTTTGATTCTCACTAATATCAATCCGGCTTCTCCGATCTAGATGATGACTGAAGAAACACTGACACCATTCAGGTCAATAAAGGAGATTACTAATCTTGTTTTGGTGGAACACAAACATAGTACAAATCAAATTTACTTCAAAGCTGTTTTGTATATCTTTAGATTGTAATTTACTTAAATTACTCAAGTCAACAAACAAAATAAATGTATGAATGAATACAAAGATAGAATACTACTACAATGACCCCTCGCTAAGTCATAATTTCGGCTAAGTAGCTGGTAGTTAGATGGTTCCCAAAAATTCTATTGTGCTTTGCTGACAGTTTTGAAGTAGAAGAACTAATGTTTCAACACATAATGTATTTAATTGGCCCGTTAAAAGACTCAAGGAGGCAACTAACACTTACTTAGTTACTGGCGTCAATTACTGAGATACAAAAGGTGATGGCAGTCTGACCTGAGAGGGGTTTGAAGTCACGACTTTACATACTTCTCGGCCGTTCCCCTTTGATAAAGCTCTATAAAATTCACTACAATGAGTTGAGTCCATGTGGACGCTGTGATGTTGTCCAATAAAGAAAGTATAAATAAACCATTATGTGTGTATGTGAATTTTATTTATTTTCAATGCATAAACCCTTCCTGTCACAAGACTCTTCAGTAAGTCGATAAGTCACAGTTTTTCCTTGGATCCCGACTTAGTGAGATGCCACTGTATATCAGTGTAATTACAATGTATGTTGTCTTTTCAGAATTCACATTCTACTGATGATGACAGGAGAGTATTTACATAAACATTGTCAAGTGAAACCAACTGGTGATATGGCACTGAATTACGACTTAGCAGTGATGGAATTATGTAATCTAATCAAATTTAAGGTATGTTTGAGATAAATCATGGTTAAAAACTGGCTGTGAAATTATTGAATCTTGTGGGGAAACTTTAGCATATTTTTGACAATCCCGATTGCTTCCAGCATTTTTTTGTTATTAATTATGTTCTTTTCCTCCCATTTTTGTTAAGACCTTGGAATTACCTCTGGTGCGTCAAATACTAGACTTATTTTATTCTCTAAGTGTTTATGTCAACGGTACTGACCATCTCAACAAAGTGTTTGAAGTTATAACATCAAGATTAGATCTGGTAAGTTCTGTAAATTTCCTAGTATATGTTTATTATGTCACAAGCCTCACAGACTATTGTCTAGAATTTTATTTTCATCAGTCAGGTGCTGGGTTTTAATGAGATTTGTTCTATGCTATAGGTATTTGCCATTGGTAGTGATCCGTCCCCATTTAGACCTGATAGCGAGAACTATGGCGGTGCTAGCAGTAATCTTGTGATATTATCTAATGATATACCAGTCAGTCCAGTCGAAGTGAAAGACGATATGTCTGATGAAGAAGACAAAGAGCCAGGTACTGTACTTCTTAAAACGATGACATAAAGCTAGCATCTTTCCTACCATATGGTTTTATACTCTGTAAAAAATAATGTCCATTTCCAGCTATGTAAAATTTCTAGTTGGATGTTGTGTATGGAATTTATTTTCACTGATTTTTGACAAGTTGAGTGTAACATATAGGAAAAAAGGTATGTTCGCTGAATTTTATTAGTCCCCGTTTGGACGAAAACAGGGACTTATAATTCGGTCTCCATCCGTGCTTCCGTGCGTCCATCCGAAGTCATGTCTCAGAATCCCTTGGACCGATTTCGTTCATTCTTTGCATGTGCCTAGTACCTTATGTGGGACATATGCACATGCAGTGGTTTAGTGATTCAGTTCAAAATGGCTGACTGGCAGCCATCTTGTTTTTTGAAAATGTTGCATTTTGAACATGTTTTGTCAGTTGTCATTCAAACTTGGTACATAGATTATACGTTAGGATACATGTCCATGACGATTTATTTCGCAATTGGATCAAAGATGATCGACTGGCAGACATCTTGTATTTTTATATGCGGTATCTTGGCACATACATGTACTTTATACATGTTAGGATGCATGTCCATGACAATTTGTTTCAAAATCTGGTCAAGGATGGCCGATTGACAGCCATCTGACTTTTTGGCCTTACTACATATTTCCACAATTTATGTACCATTTTCATTCGTATTTGGCACATACATCATACATATCAGTGTGTTTCATAATCAGATCAAAGATGGCCGAATAACGGCTGCTTTTATTTTTGGCCTTATTACTACTACACGGAACACGTGTTTTGATGTATAATAAACAATCTGTTGTATACGCCACTTGGAACTCAAGTTTCAAGGACACGCTCGCGACAACCTCTCCGCTTTAATATGATGAGTACAAAAAGGGAACTTTCAAAAATTTTAAGGGGACTGTGTCATTTTCAATGTTTTCACTGAATCATTCCTTAAGCGAAAATTAATTCAAAGCGTATTTAAAAGTATTTCACAGTATTAGGGATAAACATATGTTTACGGGTACACATGTTTGTGTAAGCTGTCTACGTAAATTGTATGGCCACTCAATTCTAGCTGGAAAACCAGTAAATAAACTTTCCCTTTGTATTGGTTTTGGCTAAAAACATTGTCTTTATAATGTGGTTTATATTAGCACTCACTTATCATGGACAGAACATGTCTTGTTTCTGAAATGCAAGTCTCCTCAAGCTTCTTCAAACTCAGTTTTATGAATCTACATACTGTAGAATACTTTATTTTCGCTTGGAATTTATTTTCGCTATTTTCGCTGAAGGGATGATTCCGTGAAAATAAAATCCAGCGAATATACTTTTTTCCCTATATTTCACATTAAACTCATGAAAAATCAGTGAAAATAAATTCCAAGCAAAACGCCCAAAAAGCCTTTTCAGCGAAAATTAATTCCAGTGAAAATAAAGTATTCCACAGTATTAGATTTTGGTTGCACATTATATTTTTCAGCGATTCAATCAACTAAATATGCTTGGCTTATTTCAGTACTATGCCAGCAATCACAGCACTATATAGCCGAAAGTACGCCCACACTTGCAAATCGCTGCTGGTGATGAACTTCAACATTAAATACTGTACAGGGACTGTGCATTGTCAATGCTTATTGTAATTTACTGCCATGTCTCATTTCGATTGCGGTACCTGCTTTCTGGGGAATTCATAGAAATTACTACAAAGGCAGACACAATTAAAAGCAGCACCTTTGAAGTATTCCTACAGACAGCATGTACAAGAAAAAGTCATGCTATATTCTTCTCTTTGTTATAATATGGACATTATATATTTTGTTTTATACAGATGCTGTAATTCAAGAATCACTGGTATTAAACACAAGTAATAACAGTGGCCAGACCCCTGTCATGACAAACGCAACACCTGAAGGTAGAGGGTTGTCACCGGCTACTGGCGATGTCGACTCTGAATCCGACTCAGATTGGGATAGCTGGGAAGATGAAGAAGAGGTGAGAACATATTGAAATGTGATAAATGGAAGCCTCTGATTGGTCAGTTTATATTACTTTGCATATGTAGATCAACTCTCAACCAATTATAATCTAACTTGCCATTTTCTTCCCAGGACCAAACAGCATTGACCTGTGTATTTGCTGAGTTTCTAGACCGAATACAGGCACTGTATTCAAAGAGACCCAATGGAGGTATTCTTTTCACTTTTATTGAAAGCCAAACATGATAAATGAAATAATAAAAAGACTATTAATATACAGTATGCAAATAAGCAGTGGCATCTATTGAAGTCAGCAGACATGATCATAAGAAGAAAAAACACTCTTTACTCATCACCAGTAGTATAGCGCTTTTAGATCTGGTTTATGTTTTTAGCGTGTGTTGTTATTGTTGCTTGGGACTCAGGTGACGACCCTCTCGCTTTAAATTCCACCTAGGATTGATCCTCCTGCCCGAGGAGAAACTCACTATTCGAGAATCATTGCACAAACAAATGCAAATGCAAATGATGAAATATATTTTTAAGATTTGATTCAACCAGTCCTTCTCATTCACAGGTAAATACAGTGAATTCCATGAAGAATTGATGAAGTCAGGGGAAACTGAAAAGAAACTCATCAACAGTCTCCTGGATAAGGTGTGACATGCAAGCAGTAAATTTACAAGGTGTAAAACTATTGCTCATTAGTTAAAAAGCTCAGCTGTGTACAAGAGTGGTGGTTTAATAGCCAATGAAAAATAGCTTTACATAAAGATTAGGTACAGTAAACTGAAAAAATTAGATTTTGTGAACAAATTATGACAACTATCGTCCAGATGCATTTACATTTGCTACATAAATTGAAACTGAATTTTTTTTCCTAATATCTATCTTGAGTTAAATTACCACTGACATCGCTCATGATCGCATTTTTCACAATTTTGTACAATGTATACGACACATAGAGATAATAGTGATTTGTCGTCATGCCGTGTCCTGTTCGATATGGGACTCATAGCGACGTATACAACGCATGTAAAATACATTGTTTGGTTTACATGAAATTCGAACATACGCTTCGCGACGACTGACGTGCTTTGAACACCAATGAGCTTTGGTTCTCATTCTGTCGTTAAATTGTATCTGGGGACCAGAGCTATCAAAGAATCACCCTTTTCTCCCGATTGATTCATGGTGAACAATCATGACTTGTAAATTTTAATATTGTTGTAAATATTTCTGTTAAAATATAACTCCAGCGTAAGGTTGTTTTATTTCTCATTATGGTCTACTTGGTTAATAAGGTGTATCATTTATTTAATTGTTGGTGATTTTCAGATCGAGTGTTATCCTAATCAATTTAATATTGTTGAACTTAACATCACTGCATGACTTTGTTTTTTGTGCTAGAAAAATATATTATGTATATTGAAATAAAAATCACATCCCTCCAAAAATTGTTGATAAAAATATCATGCATCTTTAGTATTGTCTATTATTATTATTATGGCACAAATCAATATGAAAATACATTGTTTTGCATAGTAATTTATACAAATTTTATTTTGACCAAAAATTGTCTGTGTCCTTTCATGGTGCTTGGTTATTTTTTTTTTTTTCAATTGCAGTCGAGTTTATGGAATATTTTTATTTATTTTTCACTTGCATAAACAGCACACTTAATGAAAGTTCCACTTACAGGGTCTTTTTTTTTATTGATCACAAACCCATGTACCTTATAAGTAAAGATAAACTCTTCTATAGCGTTTGATAAATTCGAAACACGGGCATAGGCTCATGTAGTGATGTTATCGTAAACAAAAAATATGCCATACTGCTTTGTGGAATCTGATGTCACCAGCCAATGCAAGGTGACATACCGCTTTGTAGATTCAGAGGATAGCATCAGCCTAGTCAAGACGACGTATCACTTCATAGACTCAGAGGGGCAGCGGCCTAGTCAAGCTTCTTGTTTAGATTTTAAATTCAAATGAAACTGTCTGATTTATAAACATGGGTTTGTGTTTTCCACTGTAAATCATTATCAAGGGTGGATCCAGGTTTTGACAGAGTATCACACAAGATTAAAATTCTGGAATATTTTTATTATCGCACAGGCAGGAATATTCCTTGATCCATTCCGTAATTGTAGGATTGAATAATGATTTTGTTAAATTCACCAGTTTGTACTACTGTAAGTTTGCTTGTAATTTTGAATATCTACTATTTTCACGAATTTAAACACTCGTATATGGCATCTCTGTAATTCCGACTATTATATTGCCGTCCATATGTCTAAAAGTTACTACAAATGTATTACGTAATGTCTGTCGTAATAAATGTCAGTACTATCAAGCTAACCATGTGCATTGATTTTATCAGGCTCCACCCAGCAACAGCATCTTCCATCATCAATGAAATCATCGCACCACTAGTTTTCAGACAGTTTCAATAACAATAATAGGTTATCTTCTTGCTACATTGCCTTCATATTAGGGTATTGTATATTCCTAATTAATAATAGTGTACCTGGATTGCCCCTTTCTAAGATTTGTCTTTGCTTTACTTCCTCGGGTACTTACATGACCCATGTTTAAAACCAGCACCCCCCCCCCCCCAAGACACTGCTTCAGTAATACTTTTGGAAATTCCACACATGTGATATGTCCCATTTTTAAAGTAGATACAAGAAAGCACTCCTGTGTGCTGAGTATTGGAGATATATTAAAAATTAATTAGCCTTCCAAACAAATAGCAAACAAATATTAGTTGGCAAGCTATTTGAGATGTACAACATCTAATTATGCAAATTAGGTAATTAATATGCCCATACTAGTATACATTTAACCAAAAACCAACACATGGTTCTAGAGATATCAGTGGAACAGGCAGACACACTGCAAAGACTCCCATTGAACAGCATGCATGTGCAATATTCACTTACCTGGGTCTTGGTCTTAAGCCATTGAAGGTAAAAACAATCAGTATGCAAAGTATCTAATTAGTATGCACAGATATTCATATGTACAAAAAGAAAGCATAACTACATAAAGATGGCCAAATCTTACCAAGATATTGTTTTAGATGCAAAGGAAAATGTGACCCTACACAAGACTAATTTCAAATATAATCTGATGCAAAAACTAAGGGTCGAGTTGTCACCATTTCGTTGTAATTGGTCATGTGATCTTTTTTCTCTGATTTTTTTTTTAACGACCAATTCCGAAATGTGAATACTGAAAACATAGCAATACGATATACTAGTATACAGACGTTGTACATAAAATCACTTACAAGTGCAGGGTCAATTTGTCCATGCAATTGTATCTAAAACATCATTTCACCTTTATATGGTTATATGGTACATGTCTCTTTAAACATGAATTTTACAATAAATAAGTCAATGTCGCTGTCAAGTCGATATAAACAAGAAGATTATGTGTAAGGCCAGTGTAAACATTTATTTAAAATAAAACATAGTGGCATTACCAAACTAACCAAATTAAATATAGCATTTAAAATATCCTCCACTGAAAAATACGAAAATAAAATTGTTTTATTTATATATATACACGATATAATGGTTAAAACGCAAATCAAATTAAATTCTCTTCATTTTTTTTTTGTTTTTGAGGATCCAAATGCACCAAAGTCTTGATATTGTGAGGACGATCTGTAATAAAACAAAACTTTATCTTTAATAAATTGCATGCATGTGACAAGTTTCAGCAATGTGCATAAACAAAAAATAGAAATGTCATTCAAATTGAGATGCCACCTTGTCAAATTGAGATGCCACCTTGTCAAATTGAGATGCCACCTTGTCAGGAAGTGGCTGGATTCAAATTGAGATGCCACCTTGTCAGGAGATGTCTGGATTCAAATTGACGAAATGCCACCTATTTAGGGTGCGTCCGGATTCAAATTGAGATGCCACCTTGTCAGGGGGTGTCTGGATTCAAATTGAGATGTCACCTTGTCAGGAGATGTCTGGATTCAAATTGAGATGCCATCTTGTCAGGTGATGTCTGGATTCAAATTGACGAGATGCCACCTATTTAGGGTGTATCCGGATTCAAATTGAGATGCCACCTTGTCAGGGAGTGTCTGGATTCAAATTGAGATGCCACCTTGTCAGGGGGTGTCTGGATTCAAATTGAGATGTCACCTTGTCAGGGGGTGTCTGGATCTAAATTGAGATGCCACCTTGTCTGGGGTGTCTGGATTAAAATTGAAATGCCATCTTGTCAGAGGGTGTCTGGATTCAAATTGAGATGCTACCTTGTCAGGGGGTGTCTGGATTCAAATTGAGATGCCACCTTGTCAGGAGATGTCTGGATTCAAAATGACGAAATGCCACCTTGTCAGGGGGTGTCTTGATTCAAATTGAAATGCCACCTTGTCAGGGGGTGTCTGGATTCAAATTGAGATGCCACCTTGTCAGGAGATGTCTGGACTCAAATTGACCAGATGCCACCTTGTCAGGAGATGTCTGGATTCAAATTGACGAGATGCCACCTTGTCAGGGGGTGTCTGGATTCAAATTGAGATGTCACCTTGTCAGGGGGTGTCTGGATTCAAATTGAGATGCCACCTTGTCTGGGGTGTTTGGATTCAAATTGAAATGCCATCTTGTCAGAGGGTGTCTGGATTCAAATTGAGATGCCACCTTGTCAGGAGGTGTCTGCATTCAAATTGAGATGCCACCTTGTCAGGGGGTGTCTGGATTCAAATTGAGATGCCACCTTGTCAGGGGGTGTCTGGATTCAAATTGAGAAGCCACCTTGTCAGGAGATGTCTGGATTCAAATTGAAATGCCACCTTGTCAGAGGGTGTCTGGATTCAAATTGAGATGCCACCTTGTCAGGGGGTGTCTGGATTCAAATTGAGATGCCACCTTGTCAGGGGGTGTCTGGATTCAAATTGAAATGCCACCTTGTCAGAGGGTGTCTGGATTCAAATTGAGATGCCACCTTGTCAGGGGGTGTCTGGATTCAAATTGAGATGCCACCTTGTCAGGGGGTGTCTGGATTCAAATTGAGATGCCACCTTGTCAGGAGATGTCTGGATTCAAATTGACTAGATGCCACCTTGTCAGGAGATGTCTGGTTTCAAATTGACCAGATGCCACCTATTCAGAGGTTGTCTGGATCCAAATTGAGATACTATCTTGTCAAAGGGTGTCTGGATTCAATTGAGACGCCATCTTGTCAGGAGATGTCTGGATTCAAATTGATGAGATGCCACCTATTAGGAGGTGTCTGGATTCAAATTGACGAGATGCCACCTTGTCAGTGGGTGTCCAGATTCAAATTGAGATATGCTACAATGTATCTTGTCAGGGAAAATAAACCTACGTGGACTCCATTGGTGGTTGTGTTGATTTTCGTTTATTTCTATGTTCAGGAAATGTTGGCATCATCTCAGGATCAGACGCTGAAATTTGATTAAAAAAAAAAAAAATACACTGGTATAATAACATATAGTAGACATAAAGTGATATTAAATTTAATTACCCCAATGTATGGTTACCAACAGTCATGTATACTAAATACACACTACCGGTAATAATCAACCACTCAAAACAATATAATTCTAATTTTAATTCTAAAAGTTCATCCACTTTCAAAAATAAATTTTAGTTTGTGATGCAATTAATCAAATTGTTATAAGGTTAATAGCATTGAACCTTTGCCCACCAACTCTAGGAAGGGACCACACTTCATTTCCTTTAAAATCAAAGAGAACACCAGCCAACATGCATGGCAGATACCAGACGTTTTTGAACTATTTGAATTTCATTGGCCTAAATACCCTCCAACATAAAAATAATAAGCTAACTTTATCATATTATATTGTATGACAATTACTTTCTAAAAAGGAGAAATAGGAAATCAAAGTAATAGCAATAATACTTATTTATTTATTATTACTTGGTTAGCAATATGCTAGTTGTCATTTATTACATACCACTTACTGCTATTTTGTTTTGACTTAGATATTTAATTTACTCATGTATTTTTCTGCTTAAGTACTTGCTCATTTATGTTACCATACTACTTTCGTTTCAAGTTACTTATTTTAAGTGATAAGGCCATGAACTAGACTAGTTCTGCTGAACTATTTTCATGGTCCACACCAGAATTATTTAAATCGTGTACATATTACATGTACCTTGTATATTAATTTTCCCCTTTATATATCTCAATTATTGTATACATAATTTTCTGATGAAATAAATTTATCAATCTATCAATATCCTGTGATGCAGGTTCAAGTTTACCTGAATATTTCTAGGCTTTCCAAAAAAAAAAGTTTACGTGTCTCAAGTTGTTGCATATAAAATGTAGGTTGTGCACTTTGAAGAGAGAAAGTACCGGTATGATTCTGAGCACTCAAATCAAACCCCAAGGAATCCATAGTGTTATAGGTACAATTTGGAAGGCATGATGGTGGTTTGGTTGTTAGTTGAAGTTTGTTTATATATTTATTGAACAAAACAATACTTACGAAATGGAGGTTCTTTGAAATAGGAACTTTCTAAACAATCTTCTGCAGTGGCTCTAAAATAAAGCATAGTGTACAACCTTGTTCAGTGAGAATCTTGATTAAAAAAACGCCTGTTGGCTGAGATAGCTCCCTTGTTAGCAATGCACATTTCAATTAAAGAACTGAAGATATCATTAGAAAATGAACAAATCTGAGAGAGGTCTACCCAAAGGACATATATACCAAGTATCAAAGCAATCAGGCTTGTAGCTTTCAAGAATTTGAAATAGTTTATGTGGACAATGAATGACGACTGACAATCACTCATATGATAAGCTCCGTTCAACAAAGTCAAGAGCGGAGCTCAAAATTAAATGCATAATGGATACAGACTAATGCACAACTTTTTTTTTGTCTCATACGTGAAAAACACTGGCTTGTACTGTACATGTACTGTATTAATCTCAATGTCCCTTATAGAATAATATAAAATTGTATAAAAGTTCCTAAATAATAGCGCAGCAATATACTAAAGCAAAATAAAATCAGATAAAAATTGTTTAAGTAGAAGAAGTAAACAATTTGTCGTGAAATTTAACCAATATCTTGAAAAATATATATATATAGCACAAACAAAATCAAACTAGGCCGAGATCCCAAACTGGTTAATATAAAATCCAAGTTTGACAGAAATTGAAATGCAACATGATTGGTCAAAGTATTATATCTAACTTGTGACTGACCCATTAGCCAATAAGATGCGTCATACTATAAAGCTGGAGACTCACCTTTTCTTTGGATCAAAAACAAAAAGGAAGTTCAGTAAACGTAGACCAGCATCAGACAACCATGGAAATTTATGTTTTAGATTATTGTATGGTTGTTTTTTTAGACTAAATGACTCCAGTAGTGGTAATTTGGAAAAACCCTGTAATCAATAATAATTTTATTTATAATACATCAGACAGTGAGAGAGATACTTCGAATACTAAGTTGGCAAGGGAGATTTACCACCAGACTTGCTCTTTTTTTTCACTTTTTTCTTATATTCTTTAATATTTCTGAAAATGAACCCTAATGTTGAAGCCAAAAGACAAAATTAGAGTAAATTATCAGTTTTTCCTCAAAAGATTTGGCTATTTGTGTCCCAATCTTCAAAAGGAAAGTGCAGACTATAACTGCAACTGACTATTTTGTGAATTTGTTATGAAAAGAGGGAACGGTGGTAAATAGGTTAAGGACATACTGACTGATGCAATCAGAAACAGCAGATATTTCTTATATATGTTGTATGAAGACAGAGACATTCAACTGCCTAGGTGCAAAGAAATGTTTATTTTTCGGTTTACTTCAAGGTAAATTAAGAGTATGCAAGAGTGCTTGACTTACCGGCCATATTGTATCATTTGGAGTTCCCAATAACTCTACTGTCATATCAATCTGCTGTATTTCAGACCTTCCAGGCATCAACGGTTTATGTGCCAGTAATTCACCCAATATACAACCACTAGCCCTGAAATTAACATGGTTGGGCAAGAATCAAATAGTACACAAATACAACATTAGTCTGTCTTCAGAATTTGTGTTAGGCTTTGATAAGATTCTTTCTGCATTTTGTCTGTTGCATTTTTACACTGTAGCAGCTCATGCATTTATATTCAAGAGATAAAATTATTGTTCAATTTTCAAGATTTTAAGATAGCTAGAAAAACCTGTGTACCTACCACATATCAATGGCTGTCGTCTGTTCTTTAGATCCCAGTAACAGTTCTGGAGCTCTGTACCACAGAGTCACAACCTTTGGTGTCATGGGTTTTAATGGGATCCCATATGTCCTTGCCAAACCAAAATCAGCTGAAAAGAAGATTGTTTTGTTATTTCTCACAATAGGGGGTTTCCAATTGATAGTGTTTGCGCGTTTATCGATTGTGCAAGGTACGACAGATTTTGAACGTTATGAACGCGCAGAGTCAGTGCACCGAACATAACAGTTTCCAAGTCGCAACGTAAAAATTCCGATGAAATAAAACTGCCATCATTTTTCAACTAACTCGAACCAGCCTCTGAAAATTTGCACACTATTTTGTCTAAGCAAGAATAACGACCATGCAAATTATTCTTGGCTATAGCGTAATATTTTCATATTTTTTTCGGGTATTTTGGGAGTTGAAAAACTATGTCACGGTCATATTTTACTCTGTGAAACACACACACATGTACCATCTCTATTTCAGACTATTTTCTTTGAAAAATCATCTTTTTCAACTGAAAATCCACATTTCTCAGCTGTCTTAAATAGTTCTTTTAGCTGCCCTCATTTATACCCAACCACACTCACTCTTTAAAAACTGTTTAAAATATGCCACTGACTCCTGGATTGCATGCCTACCGGTGCTTTTTTGGCTTTTTTTATTTTTTGGCATTTAAAAAGTTAAAGGAGTGTACTCATATCAAGTTGTTGTTAACAGAATTAACAGCCCAAGAAAGTCCACTCATGCGGTAATTCTTGATAGCAAAAAAAAACTGAAACCAACTTACCAATCTTAAGACATCCTTTATCAGTCAGCAATAAATTGGAAACTTTTAAATCTCGATGTATCACAAAATTATCATGCAAATATCTCAATCCATTAAACATCTGTAAAGTCAGGCATTTGACTTGTGCCTCTGTGAATGGGGTGATCATATTGTCAAGCAAACTGGCCAAATCCTGTTCACAGTACTCCATCACAAGAAAGATACTATCTAGATGGTTTCCAACGACAACCTCTTTCAGATGAACAATGTTTCTGTGATGGAGGTTAATGAGGAGGTGGATTTCCCGCAAACTGCTGATTGGGAGACCTGAAAACGAATCATTTTACTAAGTGAAGGTGTGGGGGTAGTCATTTGTCAGGTATTTGTCATCGTTAAATATAGTATTATTGTATACTTCATCATTTTTCCAAGCAAAATTGCTCAAATTCAGACATGTATATTCGATTATAAAGTTTGATGTTTCTCAATAACAATTATGACACCAACAATGAATTGAAGTGTATTATAACAGGGTACATGTACCAAATACTGTAAAAGGGTTAATTATCCACTGGGTTTTAATTTTGCTTATTTAGGTGACTGGAAAATGCACTAAATTAAAACCCAGTGAATATGTCAAATTTAGCATTGAACACATTATATGTTTGGATGCAAATGCTATGATGTATGAGATTAATATCACAAATACAGTCTAGCTGAAGTATTATTAACAATCATGTATCAGAGGTCAATGGTATTAACATGTTTTGAATTCAATACATTAATTAATTGCCATCTTGGACATATCACCTAATCATTTTTTACCTGGTATTGGCATTCCCCAATGAAATAGTAAAATAAAGATACCCCATTCAATGGCAGATGGGTGTCAATTGAGTCTCAAGTCATGATAATAATGCATGCTAAAAAGGCTCATCGACAGAAGCTTATTTGTAAACAAAGACACGCTATGACACATGCATGAGAAACAACTCCCCCACTTTAAATAAAAAAAACAGATTGTACAATACAACTAGATCAGCCCATTAGTATGATGATTGTAGACTACCAGTATATAGAAAAATGTTTTTTTTTTTTTGTTTTTTTTACCTACCATCTGATTCTTTTTCCATCCGTACTTTCTTTAGCGCAACTATCTCATGACATTGTGTATCTCGGGCTCGATCTAAGAAATGAATAAAAAAAAATTACCCCCAAATAACGTTATAACTGTGCACATAATATGTATGCTGATTGGCAATGAAGAATCCATTCTGTGTGAGTTCCACATGAATATCACTTGTTCAGAACAAAAGCATTAAACACAATCCCATTGAAACGTTTATTGTGGAAACTAAGGAATGGATGAGGTCATTAACCTATACAGTAAGTCCCTCATTTGTATTAAGCCAAAAAACACAAATATTGCATTTCCAGTAACCTGACTTCGCAGTAATTTTGCATACTGATCCAAACTTTTTAGACCCAAACTGGAAAATGGTCACTGAATTTTTTTTTACTAATTCTAGCTCCATTCACGTTGAACAAATTCTTCAAACTAAAATGGTGACGTAGCATATTCATCATTGTGTAATATATAAATGTATAGCAGTATGGAACAACAATCACAGTAGTAGCATTTGATATGAATAATATGAACAAAATATGACACAAAAAGTTATACCAGCCTCATTTTAGTTTTCAATGTTACCAGAAAAACACAGACTCATTATTTTTAGTAGTGTACATTTTTCTTGTTAACAAAAAGTCACAAACCCTAAAAATTTTATAATACTGTGAAATACTTTATTTTAGCTGGAATTAATTTTCACTGAAAAGGCATTTTGGGTGTTTTGTATGGAATTTATGTTCACTGATTTTTGATGAGTTGAATGTAAAAGGAAAAAAAGTATATTCAGTGGATTCTATTTTCACAAAATCATCCCTTCAGCGAAAATAAAGTATTCTACAGTATTAGGTTATGGTAATTTTTGGGTAGTGTTCTTGCATATTTGCAAAGTTTAAAAGAATGTAATTACAAGAAGTACCATTAATGCTTAGCCCAAATCATTAAATTACGAAAGCGAGCCAGTATTCATTCACTTTTTAGCTATTTGATTGGTCAAGTTCTTTGATATTTATGAACAGTTATAAATATTTTATAAAAAGCAAATTCACACCTTCATGATGTAAAGTTATTATTTTTTTTACAAATTGATACCTTATCAATATGTTGAATGCATGTTTAATTGACACTTGCGTACTTACAAACAATTCCATATGTGCCCTCTCCTATTCTATTTAACTTCTCAAAGTCTGAAACACTCCTGCAGAGACCAAGCTAGTAATAGGTAAAAATAAGCAAATAAATCTTATTAAATTTACTGCTTTAACAGACAGCGTAAAAATAACACACAGTTACAGTAATTTACAAGTTCAATAACATGTCCCTCCATCATTGTAAATCAAAACATTACCCTGTCTTCATCTGGGATGGGAAAACGTTTCCCTGTTTTCATAGACACAAGTGTGTTTGCCTTGTCTGTTTTGCTTTCTTCTCTTCCCTGTGACAGAGGAGCACATGATTTCTCAGTTCGGTCCATTTCTCTGCTATTCGAAGCGGGTGCACAACAGACACTCGTCCATCACTCCGTTTAGCTTGAAAAACATCGAATTTGTATTAGCATCTTATCGACAGACAGAGGCGCCCTCAACGTCCTGTTATACTGCTAGTCCAGGTGGGCCAATCAAATGACGAGTTACTAAATCTCATCGAGAATGGCGTCCAATAAAACGCTTTGTAACAGTGTGGCTTTGACTGGCAAAGATGGCGTCTTATCTAGGGCACCTTGCTCGTAGGACTGGCAACTTTTTGAGAATAAATAGTGAGTTTTTCTTTATATATGTCATTTTATGATAGACTCAATAGCAATATTGTGTGTATATTTACGACAATTGATGCTTAGCATGTTTCTTGAACACGCTGTAAATGGGCGTACGTGCATTTGTATACTCGTGTGATTGGAGTTCAGTTAACATTGTTGTAATGTAATATTTGTGAACAATAATTTGTAATGTAACGTGTAGTTTTCTCATTTAGTATTTTGTTCCAATTAAATAAACTCATATTTTACAGGGACTGTTTTTCCATCGGTTGCTGTATCCAGTTGTAGAGCATTATCCGCAGTCGCAACACGTAAGTGCGTAAGGGGATGACCGTTTGAAATCATTAGCTAAAAAGTTTGTTGAAAAAAATGAAAGCTAGACATCAATAGAATAAGAAAGTGCATGCAAGAAAACATGGAATATTCGAGAAAAATAAAAAATGTACAGACAAAACAGCCATCCCCAAGGATTTCAAATGTATGACCCCTATATCATTTCATTTGTTTTTTATCGGTTTCTTGATATTTCAACAGGTTTTAAGGGAGCGTAAAGTTCGATATTAGTACATCAAACTCCACTCCTAAACAAAGTAATGTTATCTGTGTCACAGTAATTATTGCGTGGGAAAATCTTCAATTTATCAAAACAAAACTTAAACAGGGCTTGGCTCCAACTTAACCATTGGTTCCATGGCTTCATTTGGGAGTGTTCATTTCTTCAAATATTGAAATTGGTTTTTGGCTTGCAAATTCTTATCTGCTTACAATTTGGACCCCAGAAACCTGCCTTATTTAACAGTTACGGTAATTTGTGCAAGCATACAAGGTTTGCAAAAGAGAATGCTTTTTGGTTTAGTCACAAAGCAGTATATTCATGTCATTATTCAGTTGTTGTGGATGTTGCATTGCAAAGTATGTATAAAAAAAAGTACAGGCAGAGTATCAACTGATGCACAGCAAAGGTTGATGCAACTGTTTACTTTCTAAGTACATACTTACGGTAATAACCTTATTATAAATCTTCCTGCTTAGTGTAGGATGCCCAGAACTGAGTAAAATGATGAAAATTATTGGAACTTTCTCACTGTGAATATAGAAACGTGTTCCTCAATGTTTTACAGACAAATTCTATTGTTTTTGGTGTCAGATGCATAATAATACTTATTATCCATCTATTCAAGTAAATAAATTATTATATAATATTTTTGTTTCCTATGCAGCCACAATTAGGCCAGGTGATGAACTTCAGAGGTCAACTCTCTCTGATTTTGGACGATATGTGGCTGACTGCTTACCAAAATATATTCAGCTGGTGCAGGTCACCCATTACAATGAATTGGAACTCATGATACATCCTGAAGGAGTGGTACCTGTCATGACTTTCCTCAAAGATCACCATAACTGTCAGTTTAAGAACATATCTGATATAACAGCTATTGATGTCCCAACAAGAGAAAACAGATTTGAGGTAAGCTGGTATGATGGTTTTTATCAATATAAAAAAGTGGAAGTGATATACCAACTGTCTATTTAATGGGCCTAATTTAGTGTGGCTGGATGTTGTGTGTATCTGGTGTATTTGTTTCAGTGAAACTTTGTTCAAAGGCAAAACAATGCTAGTACTTCCCTACGATTGAAGTTTTTTTACCCAACTGATAGTTTACATACAGTGAAGACAAACAAATATTGCAATGTTAAATAGGGGTGTCATCATTTTGTTCTTATTGCAGATTATCTATAATATTCTTTCATTGAGATATAATTCTCGCATTCGGGTCAAGACATACACAGATGAATTAACACCTATAGATTCAATAGTATCTGTCCATAAAGGTGCTGATTGGTATGAAAGGGAGGTAAGCTATCATTTTTGTGTTTTATAATTTTGGCATATTTGTATTACACCGTTCTTTCTTGATGTTTATGGATTTATACGACTGTTAATTTGTTTTGCAGGTGTGGGATATGTATGGTGTGTTTTTTGCCAATCATCCCGATCTGAGGCGTATCTTAACTGATTACGGCTTTGAAGGACATCCTCTGAGAAAGGACTTTCCACTGAGTGGTTACGTTGAGGTAGGTCCAGAAATTACACATTTTTGTATTTGTACAAGTAGTTTGTTATCTGTTTGGCATCCATATTTCTACACAAAATTGAATTGATATACAGTTATGTATTCTTGATAATAAATTTATGAATTTGGTATATTTAGGTAGAATTGTTACTACATGTTTTCTCACCATACCAGACATATAACTAACCCTACAACTCCCATGATTATGTTTTGATTTTGGCGCATGTGCAAATAATAACGCACACATTCATTTCTTCTTTTAGGTGAGGTATGATGATGAAGTCAAAAGGATTGTAGTGGAACCACTTGAACTTTCTCAAGAGTTTCGAAAATTTGATCTCTCCACACCATGGGAGACTTTCCCAGCTCATAGGAAAGTTGAAGGCGGAGGGGACACAAAGCTGGAAGAAGAAACCAAAAAATAAATAATTTATATAAATTTAGTTTTCTATAGTGGACCACAATTATCTAGGTACATTTTGTAGCTGGAGTGTTTTTTGAAGTTTGCAAGTTTGTTCAGAGGGAGGTATCTGGATATTTGTTTAAAAAAATTGAATGCGTTGAAATCAGCATGTGTATTCAGCATTGCTGTAGAGCACGTCTACATGATGAGCACCCTCAATGTCAGTTCAGTTCTGTACTCCAGCCAAGCTTGCTGGCTGGCTGGCTGTTGCTTTCTTGTTTGTAAATTATAATTTGTGCACACTAATAATGCTATCCTGAAGTAATGTGGAATGCAACTTAGCTTGAACTGAATAAAAATCCAAAAAAAAACAAAATTGTGGTCATTGACAGCTCATTTTTTTCCAGTATATAGTAGATTAGGTAATTGATGTTAGAATAAAAATCCATTGTCATCCAGATTACTGCCTTTATCCTAGTGGTCTAGTAATTACCTGATAAATAGTGCTAATGGTAAAAAAAAGAATGATTATCATGATTTCCTTACTAAACAGCCCTTTGATTATGGGAACTAGAAATTACCTTATTTTTTTTCCAAAAATGTTCAAGACCTGTAGCAAATAAAAAAATTGTATCCATTTGGTCAAAAGAAATTGTCAATCATCAAAATGTACCAAAACTATGGCGTCCGAAGTGTTGATGCATTTGTTTTTAAAAACAGACTATTCAATCACCTGGAGAGGAAGTGGTACATGTTCTTTTTTTCCTAGCTACACCACAATCTCAACAAGATGACCAAAACCATTCACACGCTGAAGAAAGATTGCATACACATGTAAAAAAACTAAAACAATTATCTTTATTCACAATGATCTACACAACATTGTTGCAATACAACACCAGTCATAGCATACAGCTGGGTAAAACTGTAAAATTCAACAATATAAATTAGTAACGCAAAGAGAAATCAAACCACCATTGGAGTATATTGCCACTATGCAAAACGGGCAAATGGAATTCCATAATTATAATAAAGGAATTAACTACCCATCCCCCACCACCACCACTGCCAGGGTGTAGAAAAACTGAATTCCGCAATAATCTGGGAACTACCCCCCACTGGAATATACCACCACTGCAAGGGTGTGCAAAACAGATAAACTGAATTCCACAGCTAAGCATCTGTCGGTGCTTTAGAAATCAAATAAATAATGATGTTCAGTTTAGACAGTTTTTCTGACCATAAGGATATGCAGCATATTGGATTGTTAAACAGTGCCAATGAATCTCTCTGAATGAGAAAAAAATAATGAAATTCTACACTGGTAGAAAGTGCACCTATAACGAAGCACTGTGTTAATATAGACAAGAAATATGTAAAAAGTGCAACGGTATATATATCATCAAACATTTGTAAATACATGTACATTTAGAATGTTATTAAAAAGAAACATCTTGGAACTTCCAAGTGTCTAAAATGAATAAACAAAAAATTTCACTAAAATGTTAATTAAAATGTATACACATACAACCTGATTAACTGCAAATTACAATAAGATCAGATATTGACGAGCTAACTAGCAAATGATTCTGCTTTTAGTTTTCAAGATACTTGTACTTGTCAATAAGGCAATGTTGACACTACTGTCATAGTTGTGCCCAAGTACATCGCTAGTCCTATCCAACGAGAATGTGCACAACTAATTTTTATTGGGTGTCGCAATGTTAACTTCAGAACTATAAACACAATTGGATCCACACAAAACAAATACTAGCGATAAAAACATAATTACATTAATACATTAATAGTGTTAATGTAATTTACAATAAAAATGAGTTAAATATTTGCAACATATTTTATGTGAGCACCATGTACCGTATAGCAGACCCTACAATACAAGAAAAGACTACATTATATATACATATTCAAGGCACTTCAGAAGAAAAAAAACTAAACTTAGAATCAGAAAATACCGTAAGTAGAACTAACAATGTTGTGACAAATCTATTCAACTGTTTTGTAAGGGTTGCTGATATCCACTTTGTACAATGCACTATAAATAGATTTATGTCAGATGTTGCCAAGAAAACTAACATTGAATCACAAGTTCTACATACAGATTTGCTTACTTTCATCATCTCTATTAAAAAACTCAAATATCAGACTATAGAGGGCAGTATAATCATAGAATGTTGGCTCCCCATAGCTGAATGATTTTTTTTAAAGTTCATCTCATATATACTGTAGAACCCGTTGAAATAGCTGCATGCAATTTTAGCGAATTTGACCCTTGGCATGAATTAACAGAATCTTAATTTCGCTACAGTGTTGACTATCTCCCTGTGAGAATATGCTTTCTGTTAAATTAGCTACATCTTGAATTAGCGAAATTACATATTAGCTAAAATAACATGCTAGCTAAAAAGACATGTTTTATAATATGATGTTTGGATGGATGAATAACTATGTACTTTGTAGACCCACATAGAAAGTGAAAGTTGTTACAGATCTGACCTTGTTGCTTGTATTCGTCTACTTCCTGGTACATTTCACATGTAGTGGAAAGTACAAATAAAATCCTGTGATCAAATTAGGGATTGACCATTAGAAACTCGGGAGGGAAAAACTTTTGAAAAGGCAAAGATTTGGAAAAACAAATCTGCACAGAAAAAAATAGCAGCAAAACATTTTCCTAATAAAAAAAACTATAGTAACTACCGTAAAATCTCTAAAATTTCGACCACTTTTAAATGATTTTTTTAATTGAAAAATGGTCAGGTTTTTAGAATACAAAATACCGATACATTTTTGGCCAGTCAAATTTTTTAGTGTAAAAATTCAACAAATATAAGTTGGGTTATATACAGTTGCATCGCAAATTAAAATTACACACACTTTCCTGCGTCAACAAAAAGAGTCACTTCTCTAAACAAATTTGTGGAGTAAAAATAAGTGAGCAATTTTTGGCAAGGTCGAAAATTTTGGAGGTCAACAAATAACGAAAATCTGTCAAATAATTAGGTGGCTGAATTTTTAGAGTGGGTAATATTTTATAGTTTTTACGGTACTTTAAAACAAGTGAAGGTGATAAATACTTTGCACAGTATTTCCCCTCCCAAAGTTTATAATGCTTGATCCTTGGACAATTGAATAAATCTGGGTCAAATTTAATGGCAAGCATATTTAATGGCTTAAAAGTATAAAGGTGAATTATTTCAGGGGATCAACAAGGGATAACTGAAGGCGCTGTTGGTTATCTGCAATCTATGAAATTCATTATTTTTCTAGTGCAGTCCACTGAAGTTGTACACAAGACAGAATAAGTTATAAGGGAACACACTCAGTACATTAAGGACCAAGCATTTGAAATCATTCAGTGTGGCTAGAATATTTGTTGAAATGAAAAATGGCAAGCGACGGAGACACCAAGAAAAACAACAATTGCATGCAAGGTGTTGCACAGAAAAAATGTGAACGCATGTCCAAATAAGACTGCAAAAAAAAAATTGCACTTGTCACAGTCTTCACGAAACTCCTCATGATTTCAAATGGTTTAGCCCTTACTAGCATCTTTAAAGGGGCAACTTCCAGTTAAGCCTAATCTCACAACAAATTTACTTTCTGGATTAAAATTACAATGGATAACAAAAGATAGATTAACTTTGTAAACAACATAAACAATAGTGTCCCATGATTCTTTGGTGCAATCCATGGGATTGAGCGGTTCCCCTTTAAATATACTGTAAACTTTTTATTTTTTTATGAGCAGTGGTATTTCAACCAACTACTACTTAATAGTAGTTAATTAGACTGGTATTTTTTTTATGAACACTCAAAAAATATGTTTTTTTTTTTTTCTTTTCTGTTTTTTATCTTTCTAATAATGGCAGAAATTAAGGTTAACAGAGTTCATTGGATAAAAGTCATAATGACTTTCACTTTTAAATTCATCATGAAATGTTTACAGAATGCACATAGAATTATTACCGTAAAATAAAGGTATACTTTTGTATTTCAGTTTCACGAGCCTATGGTTTCAGGCTCAGAGTCTGAAGTGGCAACAAACATGCACACGCAAATACACCAATAAAAAAAAAGCAAAAAATTGACAATGCTTTACTACATTCAGCATGGTGTGGATGCAATTCCAGATTACATCAAAACATGCAGGTTCTGTGATGTGCAGTTCAAACGATATATTAACGACTGATGTTGTTTCAGTTACTTTCTCAGAGGCTAGCTCCATATTGATACTCATATTAAATTAAAAACTGTTTTAGTTATTGTCTGAATTATTATTCCTTGCAGCTAAAATAAAAGATTCATAACATTGTAACTACTACTGGCATTTACTTCTTAACCATTCAATGATACTGAAAGTTTTAGGATTGCCATCACAGATTTCCTCTTTTATAGGTAGTTGGATCGTACTCTTGGTCCTCTTTCCACGGTTTTTCATATCTAAAAACTTTGCAATCTTGTGAAACATCTCTTCGACTCCGGCATCGGATTTGGCAGATACTTGGAAATGTTGCTCAATCTCAACATCCTGTGATTCAACTGTGTATTTCTCCGCTTGTAAAATAGTATCCTCACCATCGCCCTCATCAACTAAGTCCAGCTTATTACCAACGAGAAAAAGCTTTGCATTCTGTTCCCGGCTTTGGATGCTGAATGCCCAATGTGAGACAATGCTGTCTAGTGTTTCTGCATTGTCGATGTCGTAAACCATGAGAGCGGCCGATGTTTGTCTGTAGTACGTCTCTGTAATGGAACGCATTCTTTCGGCACCAGCTGTATCCCAGATATCAACCTATCAATAAAAGTTAAAAACATGGTTTGAGTTCTACATTTAAGTCTAAGATAAATTGGACAACCAAATTCAATCACTTCATTGCAGCTCATACTTTAGAATTGTACTTTATAAGTTAGCTGACATTGTATGTGCTCACCATTCATTGGTTGAAAGCACATGCAAATCACACTGCATTTTTAACAAACCAATTAAAAATCAACACAGCATTTTCATTCACTGTGAAATCATTATGCATGAAATCCAACGTAAACAACTGGAATAACCAGAAATGTGTCAAAACAGGCCAAAACATTGACAAAGTATTTTGGGGTTATTTCCTCACATTTGATAACGGTCAATTTTAATGAAGTATGAACGAGTATATCAATACCTCTGAAAGATTGGGATTTCAACATTGAACTTTAAAATTTGAACTATTTTTGAGACAGATGTTCGACCCACACCTTTCACACATCATGCGAGACTTTGCAGTGAACGGTAAATCACTTATTAACTATAGGGTTAATAGCCAACTGTGATTGCATTCATTTACTTTTACCTAGAAAAGCACACAGATTCTAGTTTCTTTGTTATGTTTCTGAGAAGAAAATGTTATATGGACTCCATCAAAACAAGAACTTGGCAAATTAGATACAACTGTTTGAGATTTGGTGATCTGTAATTACAAATATTTGTACCATGTATCGGTTATTTCACATCAAAGATGCTGTATTATAAATATTATAGTAGGGGTACAAAATCACCAACTGATACAGGAATTAGAGAAAGACTGTTGACTAGAGAAAAAACATTGCATAGCTAGATACTAGTAAGTAACTATGGTGATGATTCTGTAAATCATTTACCAGGACATGATGTACAAGGCTGATACCTCAAAATAAGACCCTCTAATCTCTAGAAATATGTCCATATTAATAATACGTGTTGATTTATAATGTAATTTTCCCAGATCTGTAAATTTACTAAACGTATGTCTCTTATGAAATTGAAAAGTAAATAAATTAGATTTATTATCAGTAAGGCACAACCTCAGTATTGAACCAAGATATCAGCGATTGTACATTCTGCGCAACTGATTTCTCTAGAGATTTAAGACAAGCTTTAATTTGCATTTATGGTAATCACCATCCCTCCGTGTTGAGGGACAATATGGTAATGGACTGTAAGAATCTACAGCAGTCTCACTAAATATTTATTTTCTTTCACAACTCTGATTTATGCTATCTAAATTGGGGCTACTTATACCAATTAAGCTGGCTGATATAAAAGTGTCAATGTAGAACCTTTTATGGTACCAGTATTCAGATTGATTTAGTGTCTAACCTTTCAGTCTTAATGTTTTATATATAGTAACTATGACTACGGTATACAAAAAAAAAAGTTGATTTCTGTCTGAAGTAAGGTAAATATGTTTTCAAGTAATTGAGAGGAATGTTATTTAAGAGGCATGATCTTCATGTTTCATTGTTTTTGTATAATAATCTACATAGCACTGAACCAAAATGATCTTTTTGGTACAAATGTATAATACAGCACCTAGACAGCTGCAAGGTTCATTTTTGTTTTAATAACAATTCATTTCAAGATATTTGCATGCTATTATTTTATATGGTATCATAAGTCACTTTGGCAGAGTGCAAAAAAAAAAAAAAAAGACTGCAAAACTGTTCTGCCAGGAGCAATATGTAAATCAGCTCAGGTATAAGTTTACAGTCCTTCAAGTTCAATACCACAATTTACTCAGCCAAAACTGAACTGTGAAAATCAAATATTTGTCTTTTGTTCCATGGAAAGGCAGGTAAAATAGGTTTGTTTTTTCAATTAGTTATGACACAGTCCCTAAACTATCAAATGTGTGTTGTTGTTTTTTTAGAAATATATATATATTTTCTGTTTCCCGGTTATAAGTAACCCTGATTTTCTAATTATCGTTCCCTAACATGTGATCTATGTAAAAATGCAATATTTATGGGTAATAATAATAAATATCCGGGGGGGGGGCATTCTTATCAATCAATCCTAAAGGATGTTTTTACAGCTGTTTACTAGTACATGTACTATAACCAAACAATAGCACATAACAATTAACATATGTGACATGCATTCAGAGCATTGGATTTGTAAACGACACGTGTAGTTGGTTTCCTCGCTGACCTTTCCCCCATATCAAATGTCCAATCAATACCAGTGACAGTGAAAGATGCAATATGGATTTCTGTGCTATATAATTCTGTACTGCATCAAATTTAGTTTGCCCTCCGCAAATCTTTCTCGTACTAATCCTATATCTTTCTCTCTATGTAAGTGTAACAACGGTCTATCTATATAATATATTGTGTACGTTCCAGAAAAACATGCTACCCTATCCAAAATCAAATATAAGACATAAGAAGTGCGGTGTGAATTTGTTTTGATGGCCCTTGTTTTTCAAATTAGAATTATTTAGACCAGCTCGAATCACGTCATATGGTAACGTTTCTTCATGCCTGATATAAGTGAAAAAAAAAACAAGAAGTAAAACATAATTTACTCAAAACAACTCAAAATACCAACCTCGACAGGCTGTCCTTGACCATCTTGAAAACGCCTCGGGAAACTTGCTTGAGTCATGAGTGTCGTGGCCGTCGACTTTGGAAAACTTTCTCCCATGAAACGTCTGAATAAACATGTTTTACCGACTCCAGCATCGCCCAACAGGATTACTTTGTGGGTACGAAGTCGAATTTGATCTGGGACTATTTCGTCCGATTCCGCGTCGGACATTGGAATTTCATTGTTGTCGGCGTTGATAGGCATTTTCTAGAGCGAGGGTACTTCCTGTACGTCGGTACTATGTGAAACTTATGTGAGAGATCACATTCGGTATACTGTATCCCGGTCTTAGCGTTACGAACAGTTAAGCCACCTATCAGTGAATCTATCGATGATACCTGTTTGATGCTAGTCTGTGCTTTAAATATTTGGACATTTCATACAAATTTTCCTCTACCAAGCAACATACGTAGTTATTTAAAATAACCTTGTCGGATTCAAGAACCATCAAAATGACCAGACTTCATCAGAGTAACGTCAAGACCTACACAAATACGCACTAAAGATGTTTAGCAGCCTGCTGACGATCAAACATCGAAAACTGAAAGTTGGGTCACGTGATACATATCAGGTGGACTGAAGCAGGACATACCATTTTGGTGGGGCGGGGGCGTCGGGCGTGTTTTAGTGGGCGTATAGGCAGTTGTTTTCTAGGAATATTCAATATTTGTGGAAACCGACGTGGATTTTTACAATAAAATTTCATAGCATCGCAAAAATGTCATTACTTTTAATTATCTTTATTTAAAAGTGGGATTAAAACAACTGCTGTTGTAATATTTGTAAATACAATGTTTAAAATAAAAATCAATATTAATATTTTTTAACTTTTAGAAGGTTATGGGTACTCAGACACAGCTTTGGACTCACAGATTTGGTTATGTGTATGCATATATCAGTCAGCTGCATTTTCACAGATATAGACAGATTTGTCAACCAGTTTCAATCTGGTGGCCATGTGAAGTTTTATTTTTGACAGCCATCTAATTTGAACACAGTGGATATGCCAAGTTAACCTTAAAGTTTCCTCCACAAACAAGTACTGGGAAGTTTAAAGATGCACCAAGATCATTTCTGGACCTTCATTTTGGTTTGAGATTATTACCAGGTATGTGAAATATTTAAGTAAGACGTGCATATTATGGAAAATCAAATGAACGTCAATATTTGAATGATTTTCAGAATACTTAGATGATTATTCAGTTATCATTTTGGCTTTCTATGTGTGTGACTACATTTTAATTGCTAAAGATTTTAAATAGTGTACCAGAGGATCACTTGTTTCAATTACTATCCACAAGTGCGAAACGATTCTAACTAATCATTAGTAATTGCAACTGCCATGTAATATTCAGACAATCTTATATTTTATATACCAGTAATAGTCAGGACCCCAATAAAGCTCTAGGAATGGTCAAAAAGTGGAACTAAATATTTTTCCTTTTACAGTTGTCAACATACTGAAAGATATATCATTAGAAAATTGTACAACTTACTATAGGTAGTTATAATTAATGCTTTTTTCAATGGTTACTTGACAGTTTCACAAGGCAGCAGCAGCAGCACTCTCAGCAGAGATGGATGGATGGACAATTTAGAAATTCTGGCAACGAGTGATCGGTGTTTGCCACTATGAACGTTACGTTTTATTATTCTAGTCATTACACATTATATTGTTCAGTTTTCTATAAATCTATATACCCCAAACGTCTGGTTACCAAAAAACTCTGATTAGATGGCCTTATTATCAGTCAATACACAACTTGTAAAACAGGAGTACCAGTGCTTTAAAAAGTTAAATTTTCACCGCTATCAATTTTCACAATTTCAGGATTTTATGGCATTCACAAGAAACAAATTTTTTGCAAGTCAATAACACTCCAGGTGGCAGGACTTCAGAGAAATTTTCACTGCTACAGAATATTGCTATTTTTAAAAAAATTTAACTCTCACGATTCTAGACTGACTATGTACAACACACAGACTCAATAATGTAGCATGAATAAAACAATTTCCTGTGAAGAAAAAACAATTATTTTATTCCATGACAGCACTCAGATTGAATCAAATTGTACATTACATGCTTATCATATTGGGTATGCCAAAATATAAATACATGAAAAAATAAGATGAAAATATCCCAAACCTGATGAGAAATTGGCCATTCAGTTTGTAATATTCAATTTAAACTGCAATTTTATTAATTTTATACGGTCTACATAAACTACATCTTGGAGAAGAAATTTATTAATTTGTAAAAGAATTGAGCATTATGTTGCAGGGCTTGAACTTCAGAGTTCAAAGCCAAAATTTATAAATTTGCCTTAGCATACAGGAATAATATAGGCTATTGCCTTTAATAACTTGTGTGAAGTTCAAGCCCTGATGTTGCACAAGAAGACGGGGTGAAAATATCTTCAGTAAACGTTGGCAGCCATTTATTCTCTTGGGTTCTGAATAACAATCAAGAGGTATTCCTTATCTGCAATAAAATGAAGCGAACAATGTTATCAATAACGTAAACTTATTAACAACACAAAATCTGATATTATAAATGAATAAAAAAAAGAGAAATTTTACACATAGCGTAACATTTGGCAATGCTGACTCACTAGTTATATAAACAGATTTAACAGTGTTCAAGCATTTGGCCCATCGCCTGTGGAAAACCTCCATCGATTGCCAATAAAATTAGTATTCAATGACGTAAGCAGATGATGTGTTGACAGAAATTTCATCGTGTTGATAAAATTAAAACTGAAAACTTCATTTTATTATTTGCTTAGTACAGTATTTTTTTTTTTGTTTAGTCCGGGTTTTGTGGGAGACTATTTTTGTCGTTTAAGTATCCAGGTAAAAATAATGTTATCATGCACCTGTCTGATGCTGCAACCTATGGATGGCACTTTGCTGTACAATAAGTTGCATTATTACTGGTAGTGTACTTTATTTGACCTGTCACCCAAGTGTTTGGCAAATCAATGAAGTTAAGACTGATTGACTGACTGGAAAATTGAAAACTTCTCGTTTCCCAATTGTCAGTAGATTATACTTGTTGTTTGGTTTCAAATAGTGATATACGATATAGTATTTGCAAAGCTTACCTGGTGCAACCATGATTTCATGTTTCTTTGATCGAATTCTAAGGAATGTCAAGTCGTTTTGTGGGTCAATGTCTCGAACAGTGCTACGTGCTTTTGCTGCCAACTGATGTATCAATCCAGCATACTGAACTGTCGTTGAATTGTCTAATGTTGTTCGTATTGGAATACCTGAATAAATATAATATAATGTATAATATATACAATGGTTTAAAATTCATCTGTAGTAGTACAATAGTTTACATGTTACTGAATTGATGGTCTGTGTCTGGACTTGTAAACGAATAGTTTAATACTTGAATAATTTGTCTAAGGTGAGTAATATCCTATCAATATTAAGTCATATTATACAAGTTGACGGAAAACTAAAAAGCTTAATGAGGAATTTCGGTTTCAAATATTCACACCACACCGCAGTACAGTACAGTAAAATTTGTTTACAAATAAACAAACAGGCCAGTTTTTCAATTTGTGACCACATATCTCACCTTCTGCGTTGACTACGATAATGCCGATCACACCTTTGTGCGACTGGATTCTCTTCAACGTTTCTTCAATTTCAGACTACAAATGAAACAAAAAGTTTATTATATATATAACGAATAAAGTATAAGCAACCTTGGTGCAGACGACTGTCTTAATCGTGGTATTTTATTTTTTTAGCTCCCCGAGTCGGTTGTTAAAAAACATCTGCGCGGCTCAGTTGGTACACGATTTTCAAAATTTGTCTCGACAAGACATTGTTGATAAACTTGAAATATGCGTCGGTCTTGCCATTTCTCTAAAAATACGATCAAAATATTATTAATTAGGAAAAAGAAAACATACCATGTTGACAGGATTTCAGCTCGTCAGAGATGTTGCTACGGATTTCCACGCATGCGCAGTTACTAGCAATCTTCAACCTCGTTCGCCGGCAAGACAGTTTTATTAAGTTTTTTATGTTATTTAAATAATTTTTTTCTGTCCTCGATATTACTTCATAATTATATCATTGGGCTATAATGTCTTCATAACTCATTCAATTATGACAGTTATAATTACCCTTACTGAGCGGCATAAAATGCGAAAGAGCCTAGATTAGTGCTGCCCTCTTGGACGGTTTTAAAGTTCTTTTGTTTGTGAAATACATGCATGGAGCGAGGAAAAAAACTATTTGTCAAACTAAAGTTTATTATTCACTACCCGTATATACATTACTTATACAATAACAGAATATTATAAAATGTAAATTCACTGAAGAAATATTCTATTTTAGCAGGTCTAGTGTTGTATAGACATTCACAAGGTTTAAAATGTGCATGTTTCTGAAGGGAAACAATACATTCTACGATTAACTTGACATGTACAGTAGGTTTTAATTTACCAATCACCAAAAATAAAAGGTAGCATGGTTAAGCCTTTTACAATAATAGTTTCTAAATTTTGGCAGTTTTCATAGTTCTAAAATATAAAGTCATCTTGAACATATCTCTTCTCTCTCTCTCTCTCATTACTAATATATGTGCCCATACACAAAAAGTACTTTTAATATACTATTTTATTCTTGGGTACATTGTTGGCATTATTATACAAGTTGCATTTAATACATTGCACACAAAAACTAGTCATTAAAGAGGGGTGGTGGGATAATGCATTTTACCTGCTTCCTAAATCGAACAGGATATGATGTAATGACCACTGCCCTTTAATGGTTGAGATATATGACTGTACATAAACTTGCACCTTTATATTATATGCAAAGTTCACATGTTATTAACACAGGGGAGTCACTCTAATGAACAAGTTAACAGTGTTGATCAAATCAAACTGTTTTCAGTACAAGACAAAAGACAATATCAGATACAATGTAATTTAAAACGGAGAAATGACAAAACATGGTTATAGTGACTTGAAAATTATACAATTGCCAACTAATTTTATATACATGTACATATTGACTAAATGTTATGTGTACAGAAAATATTCTGCTATTGTTCTGTACCATTTATATTTGAAGCACTATTTTATTCACCTAAAGTCACTTACGAGAAACAATAGTCAAAACATACCAGTATCTCTGAATAATTTTTGACAGAAAATCACTTTTTACTGAATAATTCAATTCTGTGGTTGAACTACTATGTGACCATGTACATTGCAAAGACTAAGAAAACTCAGGTACTTACCATCAACTTCGTAATTTTTTTTTATCACATATAGAAATCTAATCTCTTGAATATCTCAGTTTACAATAATAAATATAAACACAATGGATCAACTATTCAAACAATTCAACGTCTTTGATGTACAAATGTTGATACCCAGAATAATACATTATTGAATTGGTTTGTCTTTCCAAACACATTTCAGTAGTTCTGTATAGGATATATATGGTAACAACCAACCCTTTATTAACATTTACTTGACATATTATTGGGCACAGCGTCATGATTTCGGTAATCATTTTAAAACTAAAGTATACCCTCCCCCCCAATCACAATGATTTTGGTCTCCATGAAAGTAGAATAAAATTCAGATAACTTACAATCGGTTAAAAAATCATGATCAAGGACCTTATGAATCATAATACAAGATATTATTTTTGTACAGGGTTTTGAAAAATGAGGATGATGCAAGACATTGATTTATGGTGTTGGCATCAGACGCGACTTTATTTCCCATCAGTACCAGAGGTGCCAATGCACAATGACATAATGTGGTGATCATGGCACATTCAAATTTGTATTTGATTTTCAAGAATAAGTCTTAAACTAATCTCAATACAAACTTTTATTTTGTTAAGACACTTGTACTGAAGAGTCTGTCTTGACATCTTGTGATGCAGGATGCTAGTAAGAAAAGATCATGGTTTCTAGTCCTAACACTCATCAGCATCATGTCGACGATAATCAACACCAAGGGAAAACAGACAGTGACAGTGATTTGGGCACCATGCCGACTGAGATGCATCACACACAATATTGTGCATTTGTAGTACACATGGGATAATTCAAAGTTGGAAGGGGGCTAGTGACAATAATAGGTGACTATTTAATTTCTATTTTACAATACAAATTTTATAGTATTTGTATGTAACTGTCTATTTTTCCTCTTTGTCCTTGTGCAATGCACTCAGATATCCAGACGATGTTCCTGCATTCCTGCTCCTTCAGTTTCACCCAAGCATAGAAGATACCGAAGTGAAACTGTTGCATGAAAGCATACACGTTCAATTTCACCTGTGAATATATAGAAAACACAAGGTTTAGATAAATTTGAATAATAATAACGTGCAACAGATCAAAAGCAGGAGAGCGGACAATCCAAAATATTTGTTATACAATAACAAATTATTGTGTAACCATGTTACCCTAGTTAATATTGATCGACATAATGTAAAGTCTTACCTCATGCTCAAAGAATTTGTCTTCCAGTGTTTTGTCCCCAGGGTTGTTTCCTGATCCTTCAAATAAGGCTCTGTATTCCTGTGTAAAAATAAATCAAATGTGAATATTCAAATAGCATTGACGAACCTGAAACGTCAAAAACTCTATTTCAGTAGCGATCTAACTGTGAATGTTCTGTAAGCTGTACTTCCTGTATTGGTAAAAACTTAATAAACGAGAAAACAATAGCACAATAGAAGCCAGAATAAATCTCATTTTGGCAATGCAGTGGCATTGTATTACTATTCCTGGTTTGATAATGCATACACCTACTCTCAATTCAAGATGAACATAGTGGTTTTTAGAAAAGACGGCACACTTTACAAGATGAAAAAAAAAGACAGACCATAATAAGGAATTGCAGTGACTTACAGCATAGTAATCAGCAACAGCTCTCACTTGTTCATAGTCATCAGCCCTGGCTAGTGCAGCTAGACCATCAGGAAACAGTCGACCACAACGTGGATACAGCTTGTTTCTATCGTCTTTAGTGAGTTCAGTGCCAAAGGAATTAATTGTGATGATGATGGCTCTACGATCAGCTTCAAACTGAAATCAAACACAAGGTTGAATTTTATGGAACAATGCCAGTGATATCATAAACATTTTGTAATACAATGTTTGGATTGTTGCATATATTGAAACCATTGATTAGTGAGATTTAGATTTAAGTACAGCTTCAGATCATAATTCATAAACTTATGTTCATTCATGAGAACAGCAGCATTATATTTTATTCTACAGTTTAGTATTAATTAAAGTCAAATAAAGTCAAATCTAAACTAAATCTAAGACCAACATCACATGAAGTTTATAGGGGGTCCTTCATCCCAGACCACCCATGCCATCTTATTGTCTACATTTGATGTGTACCAGCACGTGTCAAGACTGTGTGTGTACACCATTGTCTATTAGTAGGGCATGTGCCTACATTAATTACAGAGGTGTTTTTATCTTCAAAATATGTAATATTTTGATGAATCAGCTTACAATGAGAGGCATTTACAGTAGAGCAAATACAGTGTACAAATTTATGAAAAAACAAAACAAATTTGGTAATTACGGTATACACACTTCAAAAGAAAAATTTCAGATGTACAACAATACACCACAACATTGTTCATAACCACAGGATGCAGAAAGTATATATGTATGTTTACTGGAAACTTACAGCAAGTATTTCACACATGACATCAGCAGTAGCACCACCCAAATTCTTACAGAATTGATAAAATCCCTCCAAGTAGGCTTTATATAGTGTATTCCTGATGATTTCAATATTCATTTCGTCTAAATCTTGCTCTGATATACAGTCTTGAAAGAAAGGAGCTGAAAAATAATAATAATAATACTGATCAGCTATCTGCTACGAGTATTCACACCAGATAAAATGTATACTGTACCTAAGTGACATTTTCACTGTAATAATATTTATTGACACACCACTGATTTAGGAAAGTAAAGCAGTAAGGTCTCAAAAAAAAAAAAAAATGACATAAATTGCAAAGTAAAGAAATGAAATGATAAAAAATCAATCACTATAACTCTCTGCTTAAGTGACATTTTAACTACCACCATGACAATTCTTGAACTATTAGACACAATCATCAGCCATTCACGCCTGACACTAAGTATTCCTGTACAAAGGTTGATGTAAAGTCCACTATACAGAGTATACATTCACAAATTGCAATACGCAGATGACACTCTCCCATCACACACTTTTATCGAAAGAAAAAAAATAGTACCAGCCAGAAGACATGAATGAAATTATTAATAACTATGACCAGTAATGCTGAATTACATACAACACATGGAGAGGCTATTTATAAACCCACACGTAACCGGCAACACTTACCAAGCGGTGTGTCAACCAGAATGGCATTATAAAGTTCAGCTGGTGTGGAAGCAATGTTAACGGCTTCCATTTGTTCAAAACTACCCAGTGGATGACATTTAGGGATTAGTTCAGATATCGATCGTTGATGAAGAGTACCAGTAATTAATAAGATGATATTGTCAATCATGTAACTGTAACTGAAAATGAAAAGTAACAATTAGGATCATCAGTATAATAGTCTGTTGTAGATTTTCATTTGTATTTTCATTTGTTTTTACTTTTCTGGTCGGAAATAATTAAAAATCCATAGTGTACATATATGTATAAATATATACATTGTATTACAACTGACAGAGTAGGATTACATGGATAAAACAATACACAATCAAAACGTGTGAAATTGCAATCATAGACAGTCATGCTGGTAGGCGTGTACGGATTCAAAGCCAAAGTAATTTACATCGCACATACATATACAATTTCAATGATTTGAGAAATGAACTTACAAATATTTTGTTGTATTATCAAATTGGAAATTATTTCCACTATTTCAGTACTTACGTAATGAAATCCATAAATGTTGCCAGTGGTTCAAACGCATGGTTTCTAAGATGTTGGAATTCTAAGACGAGTTTCTCCTTGAGCTTATCGTCTATAACTGACACTGTCAGTGGAGAGGGTTCGTTGGCTAGGAAGTTGCCATAGTCTGTGCTAGCAAGATGCAATTTTAAGTCTGTAAAATAATAAAACATATATATTTCGGCGATTACTATGATTCAGTTGTAAATTCTAGTGTAATATCACAAATATCCTAGAACTTTGTGATCACATTAGATATCAATAACCAGCAAACGTATTAAAATTATATCATAAAACGATAGAAAAATTATGAACGTAAAAAAAAAACCCACCTTCTAGTGTTTCACACTGAATCAAATTCAAATAATCGTTTGTTTGAGAATACCGCCTTTAAAACCTCTCACCAGACCTTCTAAATACCCGTTATCTATATTAAAATAAACCTCCGAGATGGACATTTTGGTAAAATTACGTCGATTTTGATTACTATCAAATCCCCGAGATAAATCTATACTCAATATGGCCGTCACAAACAATCACGTGACTTTTCCACAGTACCCAATGAGAGAGACAATATAATTGGATAACGAGTCAAGAGAGATAAAAATGCAGCCAATAGAAATATCTGTAATGTTCATAAAATAAGTCACAGTCAGGTGATTTTGTCTGACTTCATAATATGGCATAAACTAATTGAACGTTGTTTATGTTTTATGAAATGTCAAAGTATCTAATTCTGCAAAAATAATTTATACAAATTGTATATAAACGATATTGTTGATACTAAATTATGTGGGTATACAGTTCTAGCCTATTTTATTGCGGTGATATGGTAATTACCCGGGGGTCATTTCTAACCAATGGATGCCCATATGTTGATTTCATGCAAATTACCGGCATGATATAGCCCTTCGAATGGCAAGACTCGGTCTCTTTCATACAAGCAAAGCAACCAACGAGGAAGCATGTCTAAGCCCACATACAAAGTCGGTAAGTGCCTATTCGATATATTTAGTAAGTAGGTTTACGTTGTAATTTCTGTAATATTAATGTTTGAACATTCGGATATGAACATACTGGTGACAACGAATGCTTTTCACAAATTTGATAGTCTGGTGGCGACAGATTTAGAAAAACGCCATGCTGAGTGACCGGCCAGGGTGAACCTGCGTGACCTTGATTTCTCGCCCTGTCACTATAGGGGAGGGGGTGTTTCACAGAAATCGGTATAAATAATACCAATTACAAGCCTAATATTTATTGTTTTGAAGTTATAAATCAAATTGCAGCAATTTTGAAAATAATTAAATTGAATTGTGTGTTAAATTGTCAGTCTGGTATAAAAATATTAATTTAAATTAAACTTTATGGTGAGCTAAAGAAATAATGAAGCGATAAATTATTTTTTTGCATGGTCATGCTGTATCATTCACAGTGCTGATGTTTTGTGTGGCAAAATGTAGCATAAAACTTGTCTGTCTCTATAAGGTGCTTGAACAGTACGCAAAGAAAACCAGATCATGCAACAGTATCGATTTTATTGCTACGATATGAACATTTCATGCAAGATAACTATTACTTGGATAGTTCAATGACAAAAACTTTAATAATCACCTGATACTACTTGTTTGTATAGCTGGGTGAGACTTGTGGTATCACTCATATCAACCAGTTCTACAAATAAGTATATCAGGTGATGGCTACATAATATTATCAGCTTAATCAAATATACATTGTTTGTTTTTTTAGCTATATTTTGTTGAATATATAAAAATATATAACATTCTGTCATTTTATTTTGTTTGGAGCAAATTTTCTATTGATATTGCCTTATAAAACATAAATGCACAAAGTGAGC